GAGGTGATGAGGACATTTGAGAGCTCAGGTAACTCAACCTGAGCTCAACCCAGCCCAGAGGAGCACAGGGCTCTGTTTTGTGTAAGTCACTCACTGCCATGGATGTTACACAGCTTTAAACTGTGCTGGGTGTTCAAGTGCAATAAAAAAATTAATTTACCATTCAGCAAGCTTCTCATTTAGCAAAATTAGCTGCTTCAGCTCCATTATCTGTATGTTTCTAAGGCGTTTATTCCATATATTATCAAAGCCAGCTCGAACCAAGGTTTATTTTGTATTATTGGCTTTGTGTAATTTGTGTGTATTCATGAGAGAAACCCACAGTGTGACAATGGCACTGCCACGTCGCCATCTCCAGGTAAGACAAAGAACTGAACAAAACCCTCTCTCAGAAATGCACAATCACAGATGGATCATTTTAGAACAGGAATTTAAAAATACCTGTTCTTTTGGAATACTCTCAGACATCATTGTAGAGTCTGAAAAGAATTTTCTGACCTTCTCTTAGACCCAAATGTGACAGCGTTCACAGGGGTGTGAGGATGAGGGAAGAGACCAGAATCTGACTCCATGCTTCAGAAGGCTTGATTTATTATTTTATTATATATATATTACATTAAAACTATACTAAAAGAATAGAAGAAAGGATTTCATCAGAAGGCTGGCTAAGAATAGAATAAGAAAGAATGATAACAATGATAACAAAGGTTTGTGGCTTGACTCTGTCCGAGCCAGCTGACTGTGATTGGCCATTAATTAGAAACAACCACATGAGACCAATCACAGATGCACCTGTTGCATTCCACAGCAGCAGATAATCAATGTTTACATTTTGTTCCTGAGGCCTCCCAGATTCTCAGGAAGAAAAATCCTAAAGAAAAGGATTTTTCATAAAAGATGTCTACACCCAAGTTTACAGGCTCTTTCAGACAAAGTTTAGAGCACACAAAAATCTTCAAAACAATCTCAGCAAACATTTGGTTCTCAGGAATTTCAGGAGTTTGGAGGTGACTGGACACAGTCAGATTTTAGGGGCTGAGACTTGGAGCTGGCTCTGGTTTTTAACGAGGAATAGAGTCTGATGGTTTATTGTTAGCTCAATTATCTTCCTAACTAAGATAAGGCAGCCAGGTTCACAAAGAGAGGCCAAAATTCCCCATTGTTATTCTGCTGTAGCTGAGCTCAGAAAAGGAACAGAATCACCAACCTGATTTTCCATGAATGGCAGAGATTCTGGATCCACAGAGGGAAAGGGAGAAGCTGTCTCCAAATGATCATGCAAATTCCTTCAGGGGCCTTGGGGCAAGGAGAGACACGACACTGAGGTCATTTGGTAAGACCTTGCATATTTTTAATTCAAAATATGTATCACATTTTAATCAAACCAGCTCTGTGCTATTTCTATCCAAGTAATTTGCATTCTGGCTCTGTCATGGGGGCAGTTATGAGTCAGCTAAGCTCTCTAATATAATAACTATCAGAAAATTGTCTTGCATTAGTCACGTTAATTATGCTGAACCAAACACTGAAGACAGCAAAATGTTTTTTTCCATTGCAATATTTTTTTGCCTCGTAGAGATTTTAGGAATTTATTGGAGCAAGATTCTCTCTCAAAATTAAACCTGCAGACAAAAAGGATGTCAAGCATGCCCGTGCCTTGGCAAACAACAGGAGCTCTGTCTCTGATTTTTGTTACCTTGCTCTCTACAGAGAATAGGTTTTGTTTCTCTATAAGCAGGCAAAATAAAAATAAAAGCCAGTGCCCCGAGTGAGCAGCACACTCATCATTTATGGATGCTTGAATCACTCAAAGAAAGCATCTGTTAAGAGAGCTGGTAATTTTCCTGGCTTGCCTCTGCTCCAGCCAGCCTAGTATTTTGATTTTTTATGTAAAACGCTAAAAAGCAACTTGCTTTCTCCTGAGTACCCTTGTTAAAGATCCCATTTCAGGCTGTAGCACAAATGCAGTGTCTATTGCTCTCTGTGCCTCTGCAATTCAAATGAACACAAACCTGGCACGAGGCAAGCTTTGGGCACCTGCACCAATAACGATTTTACTGGGAAACTCTCTGGAAAAGATGCCCATGACAGAATCACTGAGCATTTGGGTTTGGAAAGGACCCCAAAGATCTTTTTCCACCCCTGCCATGGATAGGGTCACCTTCCACTATCCCAGGGTGCTCCAAACCCCATCCAACCTGGCCAAAACCAAACCCAAAACTTCCTAAAATGTTACAAACCACCCCTGTGGTTAAAAACATCAGCTCATGAACCACAATTTCCAGTGTGCCATCAACCAAACTCGTTATTCTTCTGTTCAGATTTTGGTTTTGGTTTTCTACTTAAAGAAACTGCATTTTGTTGGTTTTGTTACGTTTAAAAGATCAGTTATCTAAACTCCCTTGTTTTCCTGCATTTCCAGAAATTTTCCTTCAAATTCTCCTTCAAATTGGTTCAAATCTCCTTTCAATAAAGGAAGGATTTATCAATTGTCTGGTGCCACCTGTAGTTTTGTTAACAAAGTTAACTTTGGTATGGAAAGGAAGTCAATAGGCTGATGGAACAGTCAATAGGAAGATGTGGGAGGAGAGGGGGAAAATGAAACTGAGGGATTTAAACCTTCCCTTTATTTCCCCCAACTGTGACAAACCTCATGGAAGGAGTTCCCTACAAATATTTACATGCAGGGCCCAGGGATTTGTTTCATTATCTGCAGTTTGCATCTCTTAAAAAGAACAAAATTGGCATGTAGGGGTGAATACACCTGATTAAACTCACACAGGCACAGAGACACCATTGCCTGCCACCATCTCAGCTCACTCCAGCAAGAACTGCTGGTTTTATCTCCACAATGTGATGCCCATTTTTGAGCACTCAGGCTTGCTGGTGTTTTTCATTAATCCCTGCAATTTCCTGGCCAGGCATCATCAGATGGAACCCCAAATATTCATCTTAATTGTGTTTGGGAGAAAAACACTAACATTTGCTGGGAAAGCTTCAGAGGAAGATCTGATCTCCCTGATGAGCACCATTAAGAGGTTTGCCAGTGCTTTTACTATTTCATTCTTCTGCACCTTGACCTTTGCTGAAGAACAACATTAATTTCTGCCCACACACCTGGGCCACATGCACACAGCCTTCCCCAGCCCCAATATGAGCCTAATTAGCCCTCACAAAAAATACACCAATTAACCAGGTCGACTGCAGTTGTAGTAATTCTTCTTAAAGACTTAAATAACCTTTTTACCAGCTAAATAAAAAAGGTCAGTCAGTGCTAATTAAATATAAGGCTGCTTTGCAAAGCGAAGGGAGGAGATGAAGGGAGGCCATTAATGAGCTAACAAAATCAAAATTAATGGGTTTAACAGCAGTTAATTTGCAGTGAGCATGTCAGGAGCACACAAGAAGTGGCACGGGGTGGGGTTTACCATGCTGGTGTCGCTTGGATCCAAGAAGGGTGGAAAGTGGGGGATATAACAAGGAAAAAGTTCCATATGTAATTCTGAGTGGGGGATTCTGAGGACAGGAGCATCTGGGTGTTGGGCCACCTCTCACCTCCAGTTTTTTATTTCATAGCACCATCCACAGCTTCTGCTGGGTTTCCAGCTCTGGTGGCAAGGTAAACAACATCCAGAAAGGAACATCTGGAATTTCTGAGGCACTAGAACAATGTCAGGAGGGGAATAATGGCCGTGCCTTACAGCAGGAACTCACTGAAGCTCCTGATG